ATATACATATACATATATATACATACACATATACATATATACATATACACATACATACCACAGAGTGAAAAAAATATTCTCTCTACAGACGTCCGACACAAAGGTCAAATATTTCTGACTCGTAGGTGAGTGAGAAAGGTTCAGAAGAGGAAAACAGATCATATAAATAATATAACAACCCTGCCCCACAGATTTGACCCCACAGAAAAGAGATAAGTTGGAAAACTGTTGAGCGATAGGAAATGACGGGTCAGGGAGCCCGGTGCTACCAGCTTACCGGACTATTCTTCCAGTTTTACACACTGTGGGCTTCTTCATCTTCCTTTTCCTAAACCCCAAAACACTTATATTTATGGATGCTGGCTGCCCAATAATAACACATAAAACAAGGGGAATCCTTCTGCTAACTTTTCCCCTACATTTGTGATTATTTAGATCCCTGAAATATAGCTTGCAGTATTGTTAAAAGTTCTTCATCTGTGACTCTCCTCTCATTGTTGTGAGTTATTGTCTATTTTCAATTGAGTGATTTCAGTCTCTCAAAGGTAAACCTTAAGAAAACTATTGGCCGTTGTCTTTACATTTATTATTTATTTATTTATTATGACAAGAACCTTGCTATCTTTAAGGTGGGTAAATGTGAATAATGCAAAAAGAGAAAGTAAATAATCATTAGATACAGCTCATGTAAATGTATCAAGTTATTAAACGTCACGGTCTCACTGCACCCAGAGCTGCAAGACACAAAAGATAATCCCAGTAATCTACAGAACTTCTTCCCTTCATTCATCCACATACAACTACATGTCACTACAGCCTTAACGATTTCACAGCAACTAACGTACATACGCTACATATGGCGCTCTTATTACCAACAATAAAAACAGAAGAAACAGTGAGGATGTACACTAGCTGTAGTCATGGCAGCAATGAGATTTACGGCCACTCAAGAATATACGCAGGAAAATATTACAAATAATCATAAATATTTATCTTGCAGTCATTAAGACATAACGTTTGCTTCCTCTAATCCAAACATAATCTTTTCCGATAGTTCCCATCACAATGAATAATGAAAATCCACTCAGAGGAAACTGCATTAAAGCACCCTTGAAATTAAAGACGCAGATGATCCAGATCAAACCTATGAACAGAATTACTTACCAAGACAAGGTTCATTTTGGGAGAGCAGGCAGTGTGGAAGTTAAACAACCAACTTATGCTGAAATTCACTCATTTGAAAGCAAAACAATGTCGTTTTCAGCAGCAGGACGAGGCACTCTGACTGAGCTGAGGTGTAGATTTCCTTTAAAGCTGACTCAAATTAACGGTTTTAGGAAGGCTTTGTTTGTGCGAGTGTGTGTGTGTGTGTGAGTGTGTTTGTGGGTCAGGGCTTTCAGTTCTTTGGAGTGTTCAGAGAAGTGTTGCGAGAAACAGGAAACAAAGTCAGATGTAACCACCCACCCCTTACAGACACATGCATACGCACATAGTGACAGTGTAATTCCACTGAATCTCAGTGATAATGATGTGGTTCAGACAAAAGCCCTGGTGACATACATGGGGATATTTCACAAGCTGGACAGTGTGGTTAGATCTGATGGTGGTGCGGAGTGGGGCATGTAAGAGGAGGTGTTGTGCACCATGAAGGTGTTGGCCATGTTACCGGCTCTAAAGTAACCTACTTTTCATTCAAACTTCAAAAGAAGAGAGAAAAAAGAAGGATGGGACCACAACAAGAATCAAACAAATGTGGTTAACTCAGTTGTTTATCATATCAGAGGAGAGAATATTGACTCTTCCTCTTTTAATCCGACATATAAATCTACACCAGTCACATTTTATTGGTTCACAAATTCTGTTCAGTGCGTGTTTTGACAATTTAACTGAACGCCACACTTATGTAAAGGACTGAAAAAATACACCAAAAAGAAGTATACAGGTTTAAAAATAGAATTTATAATCCAAAGGAATACATTGTTCATATGGCATGGTGTGCTGACTAAGACTTCAGTGTAAATCAAAAACCACAGCCTAGCCTTTTTCAAGTTTGAGAAAGAGCAATGCAATATCAGTCCAGAAATAAAACAATGCTTTCCAAAATAAATCCAGGAGCTATCAGTGCATCAGGCATTTGGCTTCCTGCTGTAGACACAAAGACACACTGATGTAAGGATGCTACATTCAAAAAGGGAGAAATTTGAGACTTACAAAAATATCCAAAAATATCCATCTCTTTTATAATGTGTCAATACATTTGATCTAATGAGTCATAAAGCGCTGAGGTGGGAGTTAAAAAAGACTACATGAGCAGTAATAACCAGTGTTGGTCAAGTTACTTGAAAAAAGTAATCAGTAACTAATTACTGATTACTTCTCCAAAAAAAGTAATCCCGTTACTTTACTGATTACTTATTTTCAAAAGTAATGAATTACTTAGTTACTTAGTTACTTTTTAAAAACACGATTTACAACCTGAATAGGTGATAAAGCGATAGATCTTTCAGCCCAATTCTACTTTTTCTGCATAATCCATCATACAAAAGGTAATCAAATGGGAAAGTCTCTTTTTAAAACTTGTTTTACTAGTTTTAATCTTTTAACTTTATGCAAAAATTTAATTATATGCAACATTCTCTGACTGGAAGAAATTTGTTTAACATTTAAACCTATTTTCTGCACATTCCTGCACATAAAATAAAATATTTTTTGTGTTTACACTCAGTCTTTCAAATAGATGCAAGTAAAACAGCAGAAAATAAATAACATCAAAGGCTAGAGGTCCTGTTGCTCTATTTTCACCTGTAAAGCAGGAGTGGGGTAGGCGGAGGTTCGCCCTGGTGCAGGTATGCCGCGGCGGTCAGTGGAAGAATCCGCGAGTTTCTCTGTGAATTTCCCATTACGTCGTTGCGCACTCGGAGCTTGTTTAGGGGGGTTTTTTGCTGTAAAAAGAAGTTTTCTTCCCACGCACAACAGACACTAATGTTTTTGTCACTTTTTATGGAATCAAACTCAAAGTAAAGTCAGTACTTCCACGCTTTAAACGCTGCACGCTCATACTCTCTCCGCACTCGATATATTATCCATTGTTGGATAATATATCACACGCAGCTGTTGTCACGAACGTCGCACTCGCTTACGTCACTGTCATGAGAATTTCTCGCAAAAAATCACGGTTTTAGTAACGCAGTAACGCAGTGTTCCTACGGGAAAGTAAGGGTAATCTAATTACCGTTTTTGCAATAGTAATCCCTTACTTTACTCGTTACTTGAAAAAAGTAATCAGATTACAGTAATGCGTTACAAGTAACGCGTTACTGCCCATCTCTGGTAATAACGTCCAGTGGTTTTTAACTCACTAATAGTCATACGAAACTCGATGAATTTGAAGATCTGAAGCGTTCATCAAAGCTTTTGATGTTGAAGCTGGATCTACAGTTGGAGCCTCCATCCGTCTATCCATGCACTGCCCAAACCCACAGGTACATGGATAGACGGATGGATGCCTAGGTGTTGTCAACCTAGTCAAGAGACTTGTTAGACCAGTAACAGAAAAAGAAAGCCAGCAAACATTGTGTAATAATGCGATCTGACTACATTATACTCTTTTCTGTATTTATTGAACACACTGATTTATCATTCAAGATGCTGGTTGATAATATTCTTTGCCTGCAGGACATTTTAATCATTTCCAGGTCAGATCTGCACTCTGAATTTGGATCCTTCTTTCATAAAGATCGGCTTTAGCTCAGCAACAATCTTCGGATGTCTGGTGCTAAAAGGCTCTTAAAGTTAATCCTCAGCATCACAATGTTTTTTAAGTATCCTTCATTGTACAATTTATATTTGAATGACTAAGATCCATTTTCTTTCATCTTACCTGCTTTCTACCAAATGTCAGAAATCCCACTTAGACACTCTCCAAGTTCTCCCCAGTGATGGCAGCAACAAGTACTGTTAATGTCTGAATAACATATTCACTATAGACAAGAACAATGCAATGGTGTTTTGGGGTTTTTTGTTTTTTTCTTTGTTAATCCATAAAATAAATGATGTTTTGTAATTGTAACTTAGATAAAGATTTGGCCATGCTTTAAGAGAAACTGTACAGCTGTGGATAGATATGTAAACGATGCGTTAGCACGTTTCCTCCTGCATTCTGGTTCAATCTGGTTCAATCTGATAAGCTGTCCTATAAATAAGGAAAGAGACTGGTATTGTCAACACAGGAAGCTGATGGCATATGTAAAAAGGTGTTAAGAGATAGCAAAGCCCTGATATGAAGACTCGAATGGTTACTGCTCCTAGAATGGAGCGTCCTTCGAGATGCAGAGGAAGCAGAAGATCCGGGGAGCCTGTGTACTCTTTAAGAACAATGTGTGAAACTAGCATTTCACATGCGCTTTGTGAGTTAGCCAGGTAACCCATAACCTTCTTATTATTAGACACTGTTGGCACTGCTTGTCACCACGGTTAATCATGCCCACAGTCAAACCACAGGAGCAGTGAGTGCACAAGAGATGTGCATGGAGGTTAAATTTGCAAACGTGTTTCCTCCATTTTGACTAAAAAGCCTAAAGAAAACATGAAATGCTCGACTCAACCACAAATATATTTAGATCAGAATTTAAAAGCAATTAAAAGTGTTTTTCTAGTTCATGCAAACCCTTTGAAGTCATAAAACTTTGCCTGTACCGTCTTCTACCTTTGGCATTGCTGGCAATTCTTTCTTTAGTCAGCATTCTCTGAAAGGAAAATGAAGGTGGCTGAATTCATGTAATCATTAATTAATTTATTTATTTTAAGTGACAGAGTTACTGCATTATGTAAGCCAGCATATGAACATTAGTTCATTGGACACAAGGGTATTTTCTAAATCAGCGGTCCCCAACCTTTTTTGCGCCACAGACCGGTTTATGCCCGACAATATTTTCACGGACCGGCCTTTAAGGTGTCGCGGATAAATACAACAAAATAAAACTAGTACCGGTACCGAAAAAAAGAAGATTTATTCATAACACACGTGAAAAGACCCAGGAAAACCGAGTTAACGATAAAAACGATAACAAAATAACGCTGAAAACCAATAAAAACCCTGAAAACCATACATTTCACACCTGAGCCTCAACTCTTGCAGCCTGGTACCAAACGACTCACAGACCGGTACCGGTCCGAGGCCCGGGGATTGGGGACCGCTGTTCTAAATGATATAATTACACAGCAAAGTCTCCAGCCCGATACTCTGCCTGTTCATAATGAAACACAAGACTGACAAGATTTCCCAGACTCAACAGATTTCATTCAAGAGTTCTGACTTCATAAAACCGGTTGAATGAGATCACCAAAATATCATTGTGAAAGGTTTCAGGAACAAAAGAGCATATTATAGTATGTGTGTAGTCAGATTTAACTCCAGATCCTCTTACATTTTCTCACACTACCATGTGCGTCTATTCACTGGAAGCAGGTTACTTACAAACACATGACTCACACTTTACATTTCCCCGTATGGTTTTTCATTTCCATGTAGGTGCCATCTTTTGCCCCAGTGCAGTGGACTCTGCAGTGTTTTTATGACTGCAGAGTCCTGTGAAAATTATTTCAAACGACTGTAGAAATTGTTGTTTTTAGAGCAGTGAGACTATGAGGATCCCAATAATTAAAAAGCCTTCTTAGCCTCAGTTACCTACATGTGTCTGCTGTCTCCTTTAAACACTGCAGCCTTAACATTTAGCTGCCAAATGCAGTTACACAGGAGGCTTCATAATAACACTAAAAACTAAGAAGATAACAGTGTGGATGTACACTAGCTGTTGTAATAACAGCAATATGATTTACAGTCGTTACTCAAGAACAGACAAAATAAAAATACTACACTTAATAAACAGAAGACTTTCATTTAGTCATTAACGCATAATTTTTGTTGCGTGTCTCATGACACTGAATATTAAAACTCAATCAAGATGCAGTTTTTTCATCTTAGTCCAAATAACTGGAATACACAGCTCTGACAAGGCCACAGGACTACATGTTGCTCTATCAGTCAGTGTCTTTTCATTAGTTTTAGTTTTAGTGGAGAAAAAGATCGTTTCTAAATGCTGTGCCAATATTCATGTGGTCAAGAGTCTCAGTTAGCATCCTCTCAAAGTGATACTCTGCGGGTTGTTTGTAAAATACAATATTAAATATACTCATCGTGAAAAGAGATCATACGCTTTCATTTTGGTCAAATTTAAATTTGATCCCCCTTCAGCTTTATCACACATACTGACAGCACACATCACAGTTAATGGAAGATGAGTAGGATCCTTGCACTCACAGACGCTACACCTGAGATATTTCTCTCTGTGGTTTTCCTATGAAGATATTTTATATATTGAAATAACCAGAAAATACCTGTCTGTCATATTTCAGTCCAATTTAACTTGAAAGCACCTTAAACTTTATCACATGAGCTGACAGTATGTGTAGCAGCAAACTGAAAATGAGCTGGATACTTACAACTACATGAGTCACACCTACGACATCTCTCTATGATGTTTTCTACCTCCGTGAATGTGCCATGCTCACATTTCTTGCATTTGTACTTTATAACTTGATCATCACAATTACCAATGTTATGATATCCTGGGAAAGACAGAGAGAAGGAGAAAGGTAAGGA